GATGACACCAGTGAACTGTCCTGGTGCTCTGACGCGGCTGTAGACGACGTGGCTGTAGACGACGTGGCTGTAGACGACGTGGCTGTAGACGTCACCGCTGCAGCCACAGCCTCCTCGGGCGGCAAAAGGAAGTGGCAGAGAAGAATCCGAAAATTCTTCTCAAGCCTCATCAGCTGCTTCCGTCCGAAAGTGGAGGACTGATTGATTTATTTATTGGTGTTTATCTATAATAAACTTTTACTTTTAATATATTTAATGGTTTTCATACTTTTTAATACTGTGTTATATTTTTACTATATTTTAATACCTTGAATAAACGTTGTGGGTTACAGTGTGTAATTAAATGTATTGATTTTATTTCAGTCCAGTGCCTCATCATTATACAAAGTCAACTACAAATTCAGGCCTGAGTGAGCGGTCATGCAAAAAGCATTTTCAGGTGTGTTATTATGGACGAGGATTAAATCTGGAACTCAGATGCATTCAGGCACATTCAGATCTGTATCGTAGCATCAACCACTCGTGATTGGATCACTCGTGCGGGATGGATGATGATACCTGGTCTGAGCAGTGACTTAGTGATGCTCAAATCTTTACCCTTCATCCCACCCACAGTTATCATCTGGTGTCCTTTCATTCTTAGTCTCCAACAACTTATTGAATCTCAGCAGGTCGTCACACTGCATCCATGAGGCAGATCCAAAGCGTATTCCCCTGAGGAAGAGGCCTTTCACACACACACACACACACACTGCGGAGGTGAAGACATGTAGGAAACAAGGAAAACAGAGACACTTTGGAAAAGACATGGTCACAGTCGTCAGACTGGCCCCATGTAATTTCCTTTAGATAAATTAAAGACACGCTTTTACTGTATAAAATTGAGTTTATCATTGTGACTTTCAAGGTTATGCCATTGATGTAGGGATAAGCACTTAAATTGATTAGGTTGTACCCACTAAATGGTGTCCATGGCAGCTGAGTGGCTTCATTTCATTGCCTTCATGTCATCAGTGTACATTAAGTGGGACTTGCTTGGTTAGAAACTTGTTATAGGTCCCGAAATTGATACCATAGTGACAGAAATCTAGATACAGGTACAAGTTCAGCTGCTAGGAAGACATACAGCACTCACATCTTATTTTCCAGCTTTCAAACAAGTAGTGAAATATATTTCACTTATTGTGTACTATTAGTCTTTGTTTTAGTCCCTTACTGCATCTTCAATGTACACTATTTTTCCACTTTTCCACAAAACACATTCACATGTATCTTTTTCTCTAACAGAATTCACAGGTTTGACTGTTCACATATTTAAAAGAAATAGATTTTTCTGCCTAACAGACAGAATAGGATATGTAGTAATCTAAACATTCAGCAGTTAATTGAGCTATTCAGTGAGGGCCTGATGTATCTGATGAAACATTCCATAGGAATTTAGACCAGCTGAATAATTTCATTTTCTTCAATTTATAATGCAGAAAAAGAGTGCTCCCCCTCTTATCCACTACCTGCAATGTTGATCTAATCTCAGGTACCACTGATTTCTTTTACAGACAGAACTACAGACCCGTGTGAGCACTCGAGATGTTGTCAATTACAATCCCAGCACCTTTACAAGTCCTGGCCCTTGTTCCAAACCCGGCACCAGTTGCACCCCCATGTCCAATGCAAGTACCAGACAAGAGGAACAGAGCCCAGAAAAAGAAAGAGAGGCTGTGACAAAACCGATGCAACTGCACCTCAATACCAGTCAGGTATGTGGCAACTTCTACTGTTACAATGCTTCTGTTACTATGTTACTCTGCAACATTTATAAATGATCAAGGATCAGTGGGTTTGTTAGGAAACAAGAAAGTGAGAAGAGTAAGACATCAACAGTAAAATATGAGTTATGACTCTTTCATATGGGCTTTTATTAACATGGTTTTTGGTTATGTGGCATTTCTTTTTTACCTACTGTTAGCTTTTCATAACACAAGCGAAGTTTATGTGGGAATAAAACTGCATTAGGTCAAAGCCTTGAATGTAAAAAGTGCTGGGTTAAATCATTTCATAACAAGAATATAGTAATACAGTGAGCTTATTCTTCACAGTTACCTTATTATTATTTCAAGAATAACAGAATGCATATTGATCCATTTAGAATTAAATTTCTCTCCCTTTATGAACTACTTGCTGGGACAATACAGCAAAATAAGTCAAACAAGCCTCTACACCATGTGAGTTTTATCTATGTGCCCTGTGAGTCAATTGAAAAGACCTCAAACAAACTCTAATTGGTGCTCTATCCACAGGCTGCATCTACAGTCAGGCGTGTGAACTGCATGTACCTTTGGACTAAAAAATGCCCCCCGACAGTTTGAGCCTGGCAGTCAGATTGACATTCCAGCCACCACAGAGCTCAGTTGACCTCATTCACACAGCATTCATTTTGAACAGCTAGGGTCAGAAACTACTGAGAAGATTGGTATACTGCATATAAGTGGCATGTGGTGACCTTAACCCTATTTTTTAGCTTCAGCTGGTCAAGCCCTGCTTGTCCTAATGGCACATTACTCTGCCATGTTGTATAAACATGGAGTGTTCAACTTACATGTTCAGAATTCCACTAACCTTAGAAGCAAGCGTCCACAACTGCCTGACTGAGGGAAGTTACTGTGTTTTAAAAACAGGCATTTACTTTGTGGCTGAATATGGAAAGGTATGAACGCACTGTGCAGTAGACCACAGTAAACCGAACCTGATTGTTTTGACACTCTGCACAGCCGAGAACCAGTGGTTGGAAGCATTATTTACAGAATTTGGTGGCCACATGGCAAGGTCACTGTGACCTCATGAAAAACCTTTTTAGCCTCTCGGACAACTCAAGGGGAGTGGAACACCTGGAGGGACTGAAACTCCACTGGTTGGCAGAGGCAGTAATTCCAGTTGCTTTTTGTGATGCTTGCAGTTAGGTGTAAATCTACTCACAATGTTTAGTTGAAGCTTGGGATAAACAAATTTAACATACTGCCCAATGACCTCTATAGTCTAACAAAATGTAAAATGGTTAATGTATTGCATGTTTGGATTTCCTATTGGTAAAGACCACATTACACTACAATTGACATGCAAACAGGCTATAGTGACCCTGACCCTAACCACACCTCATTTAACCTGTTGGACCCACCATCTGTCTGACACAAATCCTCTGTGCCTTGGCCCTGGTAATGATCTGCATTATAAAACTATAAAGTAACCTTAAACCATGACATGATACTGTATTGGTCATTACAAAGTACAAAATTTAAAATGTAAAGTTGTGTGTGTGTGTGTGCGTGTGTTCGTGTGTGTGTGTGCGTGTGCGTGTGTCACTATACTCCACTGACTCATCAGTGTTTTTAGAAACTGCACTGAAACAGCATAATGGAATATTGCTTAAAATATAAGTAAGGAGCCTTCATTTAATAAAACACTCCCACTATGTTCAAATGATTGTAAAAATATACAGTTTAATGTGATTATAGCAGTAAAGCGATCTGTGTGAAATAGGGTTAGGGTTAGGGTTGTTGTCCACAGCTGTTTTATACTGTATGAAAAGCTTCTTCTTCAGGTCATTAATGTTAATTAATCTGCAGCCTCAGGACCACACTTCAGCTCTTTAATCCTTGGTGTCAGGATACATCTTTTCAACTTTAGTTGCATCTCTTCAGCTGTGTTTTATGCCTTACAATGCTCAGACTGTGGCGTCACTTTTTGCGATACGATGTGACAATATCACCCTAGGACAGCCTTGTGAACTGAATGCCATTACACACTCGTTGACGAGAATTATCTCATTCCCTTTCCTGAATGGGATCTCCATTAACAATGGTATGAAGCTCCAATCAAATAAATATTCTCTCTGCGTGTGATTTTACTGAGTGAAAATTCACCGTTATAACGATCCATCATTCTTTCATTGCTGCTTGATTGGGCCCAATCCATGGCCTTTTGGCTTCAGTCTCTCCACTGCAACCAAGCTGGGCACAAGGTCTGATTGCTGCCCCTTCAACAGCAGCCTGGACACCGCCTTGTCCACCTGTTCCCCTCCCTGAGTCAGGCCAAAAACCATTATGCTAATTTCTTTGTTGAATTCTGTTCAATACATGCCGCCAATAATCCAATTTCAACATTCACACTGCTGTCTATACATCTACTTTTTTGTTAGCGTTGCTTTGTTTCTTGGCCATTATTATGTTGTGGTTGCAGATTCTGCAACAAATTAATTGAGCGGTGTAATTTGCAAGCATGCAACTCCATGTGTAGCCTACAACGTAGTCGGAACCAAAACCAAAAGATCACACTCAAGCAATTAATGCTTTTGCTGAAGACGTCTGAGGACTCCTGAAATTTCCTTCACAGTGACCTTTAATTTATTGTAGTAATTAAATAAATAAATAAAGTAGCTGAGGAGTTTGTTAACTCAAAACTAAATCCATTAGATCTTTTTTACTATAGAATATAATGTTATAACATTTTCTCGAACTTCTTTGCAGGTGTTGGTTGTGAATCACACAGAAGAGAAAAACTTTGAAATGGGGATGAAAAGAGAGGAGGAGAGGGGATTTCCCAGTTCTCTTCTTAGAGGCGAATACAATGAGGCGGAGTCTGCAAAATCTTTCCAGGAGGCTCTAAGACAGTGGAGGGGACAGATGAGTGATGGAGCAGTAGATGAGGAAGCGATGTGGACATTTGATCTCCCAGGTAAACTGCAGTGACGGTTTCAGGCACACTGAATACCAATGCTCACAAGTGGATTTATGTTTTAACCAGCAAACAGAGCATTGATAGTTCCACTAAGTTTACATGTAGAACGTCTTTTGTTATCTACTTTGACAATTATATGTTTTTTGGGCAGTTTAAGAAGTGATCTTCAGGAAAAGAAAACTTCAGTTTTATCTGAGTAAAACTAAAATGTTGTAAAGGTATGGTATTGGATCTGTACATTGACTATATCCCATTCAATGAGTCATTCTTGTGTGCATGTTAAAAAAGGATTCTACAAAGCTAAATGTATTTATTTATTTAAGTAAAGAAATTAAGCCACAGCAAAATGCATGAATAGATGTACACATTAGTACTTGACTAAATGTTTTTACATTTTTGCCACCTATACCCATTACATCTTTTTCCTCTAAGCACTTCCTCTCTCTCCTTCCGATCCATTTTTGCCTACTCTTCAGCTTTCCTCCCCCACCCCCCATTTTCCCTGTCTCTGCTCTGATCTGTTCAGGCCTTATAGAAAGTGCTGACCACAGCAGTTAAGGGGGTAATCCATGGGTGTTGCATATTGAGATAATGAGAGGAGTGTTAGGGGTGGCCCTACTCCACGCCACAGTATTAATCGCCTCAGCTGATTGTATGGGCATGTGTACAAGCACCACTGCGTCAGACAATTTTTATGCCTTTTCACACATACTGGGTTTCCAAATGCATGTGTGTGCATCTGTGTTTGTATGTCCAGGTATATGTGGGTGTGTATTATTAGCACTATTATCCTAGGTTCTCTGTGTGTTTAGGTGTTTGTGCTTTTTATTAGGCCTCCTATTTTGTCTGCTTTACTGCTTGGACAGACTCTGCTCCTCTCTCCCTTCGCTCTGCTGTGCAAATTGCTGCTAGCCCCTCCAGCCCTAATTATTTCTGTCAGGCCAAAGGCACCCTAGCCCAATTTAAAGCTGCCACTGTGGACTGCCAAAGTGTCTCGAGTACAATCATAACATTTCTCTTTCCTACCTCTATCTTCCTCCTCTCTCATGCACTTACTACGTTCCGTCTTGTATTGTGTACATCTCTTTCTTATTCCCATGGGGCTCTCTCCTGTCTGTTTGTGTTTTGGCACTCTTGACGTAGTGACAAGGTGTTTTCTCACTTCTTGAGGGGAGGTGTTTTGAGAAAGGTGGCAGACAATATTTTCTTGCTCCCCTGTCTGACGTCCTCTTTTCTTTTTGCTATATTTTCCTCCTCTTACCTTAACTTTATTTTTATGTGACGTCCCTCCCCATATTTCTCCAGTATCAGTGTCAGCCACAGCAACCCAGGCTGACCTCTCTCAAGACGGAGAAGCTGAAGGGCGAGGAAGAGGAGGGGGACAAGGCAGGGTACCACTCAGGGTGGAGTTCACTGACAACAGTCTTACCTACATGGACAGGTTGCTTCTCAAGAAGCACCGCAGGTACACAGACAGACACTCGCCTCTATATACAAATGGATGACATGAACAAAAATAAAACCATTGTGATTTCATTTAAACTTTTCTGTCACATGTTTATTTTCTGTTTTCTATTAATGTTGTAGAGTATATTCTAACACTCACTCACACATAGAGAAGTCACTGAGTTGCACATTGTTAATGTTACTACACTATTTGTATGTGGTAACATTAATTCTGTCACGTAATATTGCTACTTAAAACATAAACAACACAAATAAGCTGATATGTGGAAACACAGTATTCACATCACACACATCTTCCATTGCCGCTGCACTTGTCTCCCGTAGCCAGCCTACATAACCCACCAGTGTACAAAGCAGTTTCTCAGCACTTATTGTGCAGTGGACTGCCTGAGGGCCTGGCTTCGGCAGGTCCCATTATTACAGCCCTTTATTTAAGCAGCTCCTTTTGGGCTGAGTAGCCCACTGGAGAGCAGACTGGAGGAGAGGAGAGCAGAGTGCAGTTTTGGGCCCGCTGACTGCCTGAGCTGGAATGCTTTAAGTCCCCTGCTGTAGCTGCCTTTAACTGTGGAATAGACCAGAGACCCAATCTAGAGTGCAATAAGCCTGCAGCAGTGATGGTGGCAGAGCTTAATGGAGAGACAGAGAGACTAGCTGGCTGGCAGAGAAAGAGTGAGAGGTTGAATTTTAACAAGCGTCTATAATAATGGGAAAGAGAGTGAAGGAGGGAGGGAGCACGGAGGAGGAAGGAATTTGCTAAAAGTGCTTAGCTATATCAGAGTTGTAAACTCTGTCCCCTCGTTAGATGTGTGGGAGGCCTGGAGGTTACAGGAAGCGAGCCTGTTACCAGAGGGGGCATCATGGTTTCTTGAGCAAGCTGGGCAGAGTGGGTGGGGTAAGTGAATGCTCGGTTCTCCATCAACTGCCAGAGTCAAAGTATCTGTGATGGAGGCACTGAACCCTGTAATAAAAGTCAGTGCAGGAATAGAACTGGGGTCTGCACTGTGTCTCTAAGGCCTGATCTGACTGCAGTGTAAAGTTTAAAACCCAAATCTGGTCTCATGTGACATCATAGCATATGTGGTTACTTAAGACACACAGAAATGCTTTTTCCTAGTTAAGGACAGCATCTTATGGAGACATTCAATAAGCCATAGTATCCTACCTGTACAAGACACAAATAGCTTGTAATAACTGTAGAGCTTTTATTGGTTTATTGAGCGTGGCTCCAATAGAGTGATAATATTGGCTCCATGGCTGCGAAACAAAAGGTCAAATAAGGGCAGAGCCATTAGATTATTAGCTTGAAAAAAAGAATATCTTTCATTTTTAAGCATCCAGAGGAAAGGCTGTGATTGAGCGTACATACAGCCATTGCCAGGGGACCTCTGAACAACTAATATCAACAAAAATGATCAAGATAGCAGCCTAAGCACACAGACACATAAAATACATAAAAGCAACACAATAAAAGAAGAAATGTACACAGGCCAAAGCAATGCTATAACTTTAAGATTATTCAAAACAGCAACATGTTTCCTTAAGGGCAGTTCGTAAAAGACCTTCAAAGAAGAAAGTGATTCTAAGGTAATGCTATTTTGCAGCTCATTTCATACTTGGGGTGCATGAAAGAAAGTCGTTTTACCGAGCTCTGAGTGCACTCTGGGGATATTTAGAAGGACTCAAGTTGAAGATCTAGCGCTATAGTTGCTGTTTTGATAAGATAAAAGGCTGGAGATATCCGTAGGTAGTTTAAATAACAAAATTTCCCTCTTTTCTATCTGTCATGTCCAAAATTTCTTACAAAGAGATACTGTAGATCCTCACTCTTCTTCCTGAGATGAAAATATTTTATAAATTGTAAAATCTCCTCATATTTTACCCGCAAGAAAATGCGTTATTCTCCCCCTTCGCACTTGCAGATTGGAAGTGAATGGGAGGCCCCACTGCTACTTTTGCTTATGTGTCAAAATATCTGTTATCCATTATAGACATAGTGACAACCAAAAAGCTTTTTTGGCACAAATAGGAGATTCGATTGATCTAACCTTTGTACACATATAGTATTACAGCAATACTGGTCCTATTGGAGTACTAATAGAAAAAACGAACATGTTTCTTTTTTACTTTGCTCTAGTAAAAGCCTAAATGCAAACAGCCTAAGGCTAATGAGGCTACTTGCATGTGAAGTACTGTGTGTGAGGAGTAAAAGAGATGGATGGAGCTAAGGGATGAGAAGGGAGAATATTTGAAGGGCACGAAGAATATACCCCTCTGAGTTTTAAAGATATAGAAAGAATATACAGTACATTGCCAGATTGGAGGAAATGGACTAAGTAGGAGGAAAGGATATAAACTAAAAGTATCTACTTGTAGTCGCCCCTCAAGGGGCAGCTGTGAGCTGCTTTTTGAAGTCTCTCACTGAATTTGGCAAGATTAGACTGGGAAGGAGGGATTAGTGGTGGGTGGTGCTGAGAAGTGTAAAGGACACAGGTTTGCTGCTTAAGTGGGGCAGCAGAATTGTCTGACTATAAAGAACAAAATCAGAAAGTACACGTGTATCCATTCATCCAGGAGTCTGTTTGTCCATCAGTCCATTTTTCTCTCTGTCTGTCCATCCATTCATCTGTCCATTGATCCATCCATCTATCTGTCCATTCGTTCGTTGGTCCATTATTAGTAACAGATAGTCCATCTGTCTGTTCTTTCATCCATCCATGCATCCATCCATGCATCCAACCATGCATCCATCCATCTATGCATCCATCCATCCATCCATCTGTCTATCCATTCGTCCATCCAACCATGTATTCAAGCATCAGGATAAAGGTGTAAGACTGAAAAGAAAAAATGAGACACATTTTCCTCATTCCATATTACTCCTTTGTCTGTGCTCCAGCCCAGGGCCTGTGGGTCTATCTTTAATTTTTATTTTCTATCATATTTGTTCACTGATTTATTTATTATTCCTTTGTGTCCAGGACACCGATCGAAATGTATGATCCTTTGTCAGCACTTGGTCAAAAACTTCAACCAAACACAAACACTGAGGAGGAGGGTAGCCTTTCAGGTAAGACACATGCATGCACACAGCTACATACAGTATACTCCAACACACATCTGTATGCCCATGAACATCTTTTAATGCTGAAATACAATTTTGACTGGTCTGACAGCTGTGTGTATGCCTCTCTGAAACACAGAGATGAGAAAAAAGAAACAAGTCAGGACAGAATAGTTTGACCTGCATGTACACACACACACACACACACGTAAAAGTAAAAAAACACTCCCTCTCAGTGGGTTTGACGTATCAGTGCCTGCCCATTCATCCGTGCTGGTGTGATGTGTAATCACTGACTGTGATTGTGCGGGCAGAGGGCTGTTAGAGGCGGCTCATGCCTGACAGGTTTCACTCTGTTGGGTAAGAGATGGTGCTGGGGAGATGGGGATAGGGTTTGGACTCATCAGTCGGGGGGGAAAGCCCTGGCTGTTGGACTGACGACCAGGGCAGCCAGGAGACAAGTTCAACCAGGTCATCTCTCCCCTTCCACACCTCTGGACTCTGGACTCTCCCATTGCTGTCCATCTAAATAGTTGTGTCTTTCAAATGTTGGAGTTTGAAATGGATCTCAATAGATCCCTAAAGAAAAGTTCAATTTGCAGAGAGGCAACCATAAAAATAACTCAAATTATTTCAATCCTTGTGGTTGAAATGTCTAAGGTGTATATTATAAATTAACAATACCCCTTGCAGCTCTCCACTGAGCCTGCTCTTATAAATTAGAGAAGCTTAACAGCCTGAAAGTTAACACGATGCCTCTTGAAACAGATGTTGGCTCCTAAATATTACAACTTTTATAGAGAGGCAACTTTGCTCTTTTATCACCTCTTGCTTTTTCTATCCCAGAATATTTGACGATGAGTACCAGCCAACCATAAGTTTATCTTTATTTCAATTCTTTCTCTGTTGAATTCCTAACACTATGCCAGAGATTATTCCATGTCCGCAGTGTACTACATGTGAGTGTACTGCATGAGGGTCCAAATTGAGTCACATCTTTGGTCTTTAATGGGCTTAAAAGTTCATACAGAGTCATTTAATTTAGCGATGTTTCGACCGCAGGAACTTTCCCCTGTAACTAGGAACCTTTGCAGGAACGCTTTGCCTTTATATGGCAGGACCAGGGTCTCAGTAAAGCTCTGGGCAAATTTTTTTACTTCCCAAAATCAATTCATAGTTAATGTTAAATAAAATAAATAAACCCGGTATTCACAATGTAGTGATTGATATTCTATTGTTTTAGTGGTACAAAGATGTGAGGGAGAAAGCGTTGTCTTTGGGAAATGCAGAGTTGTCCATCAGCTGATAAACCATTCCTGCCACCTGCTGCAAACTTTTCTAAAGCATGCCAATTACAACAGGTTGCAGAGTTTCTCCTCATCTCCTGCCTTTGAATATGAAAGAGTGGGCTATGTGTGTGTCCATGAATGATGAATGACGAGAAGTAGTTTTCTGGCATCATGTCGGGAGCACTCTCCTGTTTTAAATTCTAATGTTCCTGATCTGTCAGACCCATGCGGTGATGTGATGGGAAGATTGTTAGTAAGAGAGCAACAGAGAGAAAGAGATAGGAAGGTGCCATAGACAGGTAAGTTGCAGTGGTAAAACAATGAAAGAATAACACGCTGGAATTTTTTTTACAGAGCAAGGAAATAAAAAGAAGATTTGTAAATTCAGTTGTTACAGTTATTGTCAGAAAGATATTCAAAGGAACATAGATATCATATTAATGTCTTTATGCAATGGCCAGTGGCTCGAGGCATGATGTCTTTGGGGTTCGGGTTGTCCATCTGTCTGTAAACGAACATTAGTCCGTTTGTGGGCACAAATGTTCAACTTTGATTTGAGTGGTCAACGGTCAAGGTCACAGTAGCTTACAAACATTTATTCTCTTGAACATGATATGTAAAGTCTGCCTTTAGGGAATTTCATCAAATTTGAACAAGTTTCCACTTGGACTCAAAGTTCAACTGATCAGATTTCAATTAAAAACAGCACAGTAATTGTAGTTAATATCCACTATGTGTTTAAGAACTTAAATAACATTATGACCTGAAACAATCTGATACATGCTTGATTTAACAAGCACATATCACATAGACATGCAGGTACCATAGATGACCACATGTGTCTACAGCAGGGTAGCGTCAGCTCTGAGGGTGCCGTTCATCCCCAGCTGTGTCAACAGCATCTGTCAACTGAAACCAGATCAAAAATTAATAAAGACACCACAGTGCAGCTCTGTGTGTTTGTGTGGCCTCTGATCCCCAGAGGATGAGGGGATAGGAGAATAAATTACCCTGTTGGTATCAAGATATCCAGGCATACCAATACCTGCTCTGTCACAGGAAAGAAGCTGTAAGAGACACTGGAGACATTACCAGAAAAAAGCACTGAATACATGGTGTAGTTTTATATGGCATCACTCCACTAATTTTAGGAAATAT